TGTCAGGTACTCATGGGGAACTAGTAGACAACAGTGCATGTGTTTTTACAGGCTAGGGTACATGTGTAAAAGAATTTATTCATTTCATTTAGAACATAAAAAACTATTTTCTATGTTCAAGCACACAAGGCAACCAATTGCATGTGTTATTTTACATATATCAATCATTTAGAAATTATATAGCACTTAGGATGGGTAAAACTGTAAAAGTATCCAGCAGTGCAAGAGAGCATACCAAATGTTAGTTTAAAAGATCTTGTTCAACTGTCCAACAGAAAAGTTCATAAATCATGCACAGTGAATTTGTTTTTGGATGGTACGTGAATCATAGATATGAAAAGGATAATAATCAGTACAAACACAAAATCTACAAAAATGGCCATTCAAGCTTAGGATAATTACATCTATCTGAACTTTGACATTCTCCATGTTGTTGTTGCTCTTTCACTGTACAGCAGCTGGATAGCGGATCCTCGACAACAGAATTAACCAGAGAAGGTATAACATGTGTACCTTCTGTCTGTTGCATAGAGCCATTAGAAGAAACTTCCTCCGAGCAGTCTGGGACATCAAAAGTACATGATTTTAGATGATAGAAATCGAGAAGTTTTAAATTTATGACAAATGATTTATAAGCATAATTTCATTTGTACACATTACCTCATAGGAGAGTCTCTAAAAGAGAGGAGCACTCAACCCACTTTTCCATAGTAGTTCCACTTCAAAGTTCTATAGAACTACTTGAAAATGAAAATAAGTTTAGTGGACTATATTAAGAGCCAGATCACCAATAATCATGACAGGAGCAACATCCACTCTTGAAATGGTGGAACCGGTTAATGTCACGAACAATTATTTCTTGATTTGTGACGTTTGAGACAAGCTTCATAAAATTATGGCAATCAAGACAAATGCGTAGATTTTTTAAAATCCGGATCCTTTTCATTTGGCTGCTGATGAGGGCAAAGGCAAGAGCCAACTTCTCACTGTGATGATTAAGATGTTCTTTTTTCTCTTTGTCTGGAATATTATGAAGCACATGTTCTGTCTCTGGGACATAACCCACCAGACTGAGTTTTTGACCAAGCTCCTCCAGTTTCAAATGAATTTTGAGGATGTTAGGGTGTACTCCGTCTGACACAAAGACGTGTACTTTATTGTTAATTTCTACCCAGCTACATCCAGGTTCCTTTTTCACACCCTTGCTGGACATCATGGCCCTTACCCTTTTTACATCTGCCCACCTACCTTTGCTAGCAAAAATATTTGAAAGTAATATGTAAGTTGAGTCTGTCTCATGGTTAAGCTCAAAGAGCTTTTGTGCAGACTTTTCACCGAATTTAACATTCCCATGCTTTGCACATGCACCCAGAATAATCTCCCAGATCGAAGGATTAGATGTTAGCTTCATCTCTTCAACAAAGCTTTCAACCTCCTCGAATCTTCCAGCACGACTGAGAATGTCAACCATGCAAGCAAAATGCTCATCTCTAGGAATCATGCCATAAACATTGCTCATGGAGTTGAAGTGTTGTTTCCCTTCTTCAATAAGACCCATGTGGCTACACGCAGAAAGTACACCTATAAAGGTAACCTCGTCAGGTAAGTTGCCCTCATCTTTCATTGATTGAAAGGTCTGTAGAGCCTTATCACCCCAACCATGCATAGAAAATCCACATATCATAGTGTTCCAAACAACTGTATCTCGTCTAACCAATCCCTTGAAAATAGTCTCAGCATCTTCGATACAGCCACATTTTGCATACATATCAACAAGAGCACTAGAAACATACATATCAGGCAGAAGTCCACTCTTAATTGCCATCGAGTGAAGCTGCATTCCACTTTCAGTCACAGTTATTTGGGAACAACCACTTAAACACCCAGCAACAGTGAACTCATTGGGCTTCACTCCTTCTTGCTGCATTAAATTAAAGAATTTAATAGCATTCTCTGCTTGGTCAGTTTGGGCATAACCAGTTATCATTACTGTCCATGTGAAGACATCTCGACTGATCAACCTAGAAAAAGCTTTGTAAGATTCTTCCATACACCTACATTTAGCATACATGTCCACAAGGGCCGTCCGAACATATTCGTTTCCATCAAGATTGTTTTTCACAATTTGAGCATGAACTTGCTTCCCAATGACTATGTCTAAGAGGCTAGAACAAGACCTTAAAACACTGATAAATGTATACATATTGGGCCTAAAACCTTCTGCCAACATTTGATAGAAAGTCTTAGGTCCTGATTCACAGGAACCATAATCATGAAATCCGGACAATAGATTATTCCAAGAAACAAGATCCGGACTTGTCATCGTCTCAAATACACGAGCACCATCACGTACACAGCCATGTTTCATGTACATCCTGATAAGGGCATTACTTACTGAGATATCCAATTCAAACCCGTATTTAAAAATACAAGCATGAATACTTTTTCCATAGAGTAAGTCCCCCAATTCAGTGGCAGCACTAACAACACTTGAAAAGGTAAATTGGTTTGGTTTAACACTGGTATGTCTCATCAAGTAAAATAGCTTAGCTGCTTTTTGGCTATGACCTTGCTGATCAAGGCAGGTGATCATTGCACTCCATGAAACTACATCATGATCTGTGATCATTAAAAAAAGTTTCAGTGCATCACCAACCAAATCACATTTAGAATACATATCTATAAGACTGGAACTTAAGAATTTATCTAGTTCACAACCACTTTTGAATGCCAAACCATGCACGGCTTGGCCACCTCTCAAATCTCCTGAATTTGCACAACCCTTAAGAACACTGGGCAAGGTAAATTTACTGAACTTCACTTCTGATTTCAACATGTGGCAGAATAATCTAAAGGCTCCTTTCCCATCACCCACTTGAGCATGGCCATTAATCAACACATTCCACATTACTTCGTTCTGCTCAGGCATGCAAAAGAACACCTTATCAGCAAGTTCCATTTCACCACATTTCGCATACAGATTAACCAGTGCAGAACCAACAAACATGTCACCTAATAAGCTAAGCTTAACCGCTTCTGTGTGAACCTGTTTCCCAAAATTCACATCCAAGCACATAGAACTGGCTTTCAAACAAGTGGACACGGTGAATTCATTCGGTCTTATCCCTTTATTTCTCATCTCACAAAACAAAGCAATACCATCTGCGCCATTGCCCTGACCCACAAAACCTTGAATTAATGCAGTCCATGACACGACATCTTGTTCAGGCATTTCATCAAGCACCATACGGGCATAATTATGGCAGCCACATTTGGCATAGAAGTTGATGAGAGAAATCCAAAAGTGAGTATCTTGGTCGACCCCGTTTTTTATTTGATGTCCATGAATGGCCATTCCCTCATTCAAAGACTCTCTCAGAGCACAATCACCGAGCAAGGAAGAGTGGTGTTTAAGCCTCAACTTGGCATTCACATTCTTATGTTCCTCCTCAAAATTCTCCCTTGGAGGCACTGAACCATGCCTTTTACCACTAGGGACTGTTTTGTTTATCATCAATGACTTGTCATGTGTTGAAATGCTTGTGGGGTGACAGAATTGTGTGGTAGCAGAAGAAGAAGACTTGAAAGGAACCGAAATAAGAGGAGATTTACACAATTGTGCCATCTTTGTACGGTTTGAAGAAGTTGTCGAAAAGTAGCAGCGAGTCCTCCAAGGTTTGTGCCTCATAGTCGTTATCCACTTATTAGTACCAGATAAGTTATCTTGAATCATAATTATAATTATAATACGTGTTCTTGAATCATTAACAGATAGACTCTATTACAATTTTGACAGTTGAAACAAATGTTAACTGCCTAGCAAGAATCCACAATTTACTGTTAAAAAATTGAAAGAGAGAATGCTAACCCGTTAATTACACTGGTTAATGATTCATGTGAATCTAAGATTAACGAGAGTACTACTTGTTGGAATGAGTTATCATGCATGCCGAAAATGATTAGTTCATTAATTTATTTTAAAAATGATGTTTTTATTTTTTTAAAATGATATCTGGTTTTCCCAAAAAAAAATCTGTACTTTAATAATGAAGGCATCAAAAGTTGGAGAGGAACTTATTAATCTATAATAATAAATTTATTGAATTAAAAACATGTGTTGTTTGACTTGAGATATAAAAGAAATTATTTACATCTTTATAGGATAATTTTGATAAGCCAATTATTTGTTGGGTTTTCTTAATATTAACCTAAGGCTTCATGATAAATGAGCTAAATAATTTAAAACATTGAAAAACTAAATTATTACTTATTCGATATTAATGACATTTAAATTTCTAATAAAATTAACATTAGACATGTTTTGTTGTTATAGAGGAAAAGGAAAAAACAAAACAAAACATAGCAGAGAGCACTATAGCATATTCGCATGTAACAAATGTTTATGCATTTAGAAGAGATTAATTTTTTATTAAACTTCATTTTTGGCCTTATCTGCAATTTAATCCCTATTAAAAAATAAGAATAAAATTAATGTCATTTAGTTGTTAAATCATTCCAATTTGATTAACTAACATTAGCAAAATGAGTGAATAATTTAAGGACAGGTGTGTTTATGATTTCATGGGGAAAGAATAGTATCATGATATGATATATTAGTTGGCTTGTTGATTTAGTCAAGTCATATAAGCAGCTTTTGTGGACTAAGGTTGAAATGATTTGCTGAGTATTTCATATCAGCAGCTTTTTAGGACTAAGGTACAAGCAATGTTGTTGTGACAGGACCGGACCGGCCGGTCCAACCGGTCCAACCGTCACCCGCTTGAGTAAACGGTCCTGTACATGTAGAAAACTGGAATTGGTTTCCAGCCATTTTGGGCCATGGAAAATCCGGTTCAACCGGGTTAGACCGGATAAAACCGGAATAACCCGGTTGGTTAAACCGGCCGGGTTGGTAAAATTAAAAAAAAAATACAAAAGTAATGAAAAAGAAGAAAAACAAAAGCAATTAGGTTAGTTTCAGTTCTCCCAATAAGAAAACAGGGTTATTTTGTTGCCTTCATCTCTTTCTCACCTTCATCCTCATCTCACCATCATCTTGCCTTCATCGTCATCTCTTTCTCGTCGTCGCCATCTCACTCTCTCTCAATTAGGTTTGATTAATATTGTTGATGATGTTGTTACTAGTGACCATTATTTTGTTGTTTCTCTTTTTGATTAGTAGAAATTTGAGGCTATGAGATATGATGCTCTTGTTCTGCTGCATCATTTATAGTTGTTGATTTCTCATTTTGTTGCTCATCTTTTCCCTAATGCCAATATGGCTTTCGTGAGACTGGATTTAGTGCAACTTTGAAAGTTTTAGTTTTTAATGAAATTGATTAGCTTTCCATCATAATCTGGTAATAGATATTTTTTTCAACTAGATGTAATCGATTACAATGTAAAAAAATGCATATATGTGATGCTTGTAATATGTTGTAATGGATTACGAGTATATTGTAATCGATTACATCATGAGTTTTTCCAACAAAATATTACTATTGATGGAGGGCTTAATCCTCAAGAAGATGTAGATAGTTACACTTAAATACATCTTTAACCAACAATGTAAACTTAAGATCTAACCAAGACAATGATACATGGATGAATTAGAATGTTTACTCTCTAAATGAGATGTGTTTTGATTTATTGCTCTAATTATGTAAGACTTAAATTTTGATGCACTTTTATTTTGATTTATGTGTAAGCTTTGTGCAAAGTTATTCACTTATTTTAATTAATTATATAATATATGTATATATATATAATTATATATGATATTATATTGTCGTCCGGTCGGACCGGACGGCTTAACCGGTTAAACCGGTTAGAACCTATACAAGACCTCATCCGGTTTGACGTCCGGCTCGGGTTTCACAACATTGGGTACAAGTGATTTTCTGAATGTTTCAATTCATATGATTTTCAAAAGTTTGATTTCAGTAATTTGCCTTTTGCATGTTCATATCTAGGCATGAAAGTGCTTACCTAAGACTAAGACTACATTTAGTTACAAACCGGAAATTAAGGATTTAGCATGCAAGTGTTGTACCAAGAAAGAAATATGTACAGTCTAATGAGTTTATTACTAAATATTTAGTCATGGGTGGTTCAAACTCATGCACTCTGAAGAAATAATGGATGATTTTATCAATACATAAACATATAAGTCCTTAAGGATTTCAATTGCACTTAACTAAAGGAATTAGATTGATGTTGCATCTAAGGGGGATGTTAACAAGTGCTTCAGTATATACTCTTATGGAAGAGAAAAGATAAATTTCATCTTGTAACAATAAGATGGAGTGCGGTTGTTAACATTTTTCACACTTCCCTGAGTTAAACAACTCATATCCATGCCACCCTAAAACCTTCTATAAATTCTATATGAAGTCTCAAAGACAATGATATCTTTTAATTGCATATAACTCAATTATGAAAATATAACTAAAGGTGTCCACTAAGTAGAAAAGACAAAATAAAGTAATGGCTTGTTATGATCTTTGACATAAAACAAGATGAAGTTCTGTACAGAAAGCAGCCAATTAGAGAAACTATCTATGGAGGACCCAACCATGGATGAAGTGTAGAGCTTCATTTATTATCTAATAAAGTTGTTCTTTCCTGTCATGCAACCATCTCCACCTATGGGAAAAACCATACCAGAACTATATCACAACACAAGCAGTTAAAAGTAACATATGTGAACACACAAAATAAAGCAACAATCAAATTAATATTACTATACCCCCTAAATAAAAGTTTGAATTTTTAGTTTAATTATGTTGCATATTGTGTAGATAATTTGTGACTTATTTAGGACTACCAATAGTAATCCCATCTGGGTATGATTTTGGTAATCCTGTTTTGAGCATATGGATAATCTGTTTCAGCTCTCCTTGTGTTTCTGAAAGCACAACATCCAATGGAATAGATGGCTATGAGAAACACAAGCATGAAAAGAGTGAGAAGAGAAAGCTTGTGCCAATTCCTTCTTATGTTTTCAAGTAGACCAGCTTTGCAAGAATCACAGTCATAGCATAGCAGAGTTGGGTCATTGCTCCACTTGTAGCAATCAGGGTCTTGATAGTTCACCATTGTTTCCATGCTGTATGTGCATGCTGTTGGTGGCTTACAACATCCTGACTGCATAACACATAACACAACCATCACTTACCATTTCTCACTTTTATCATGTATTCATGTCCTTGATGAGACACAAAATGAAACAGGATAAGTTATCTCCATTCCAAAATACTAATCAAATGTCCTTGTTTATAATAAATATGATAAAAAAACAAAACATGTATTACATTTTTGTGTTTGTTTGCTGTAGGAATGTATTGTCTTAAGGAACAAATATGTCAATATGTCCGAGTGGTTAAGGAGACAGACTTGAAATCTGTTGGGCTTCGCCCGCGCAGGTTCGAACCCTGCTGTTGACGATTTTTTCTCTTTTTTTAGTTCTATGAGATGTCATTTGGGTATATAAATTGGACAACTAACTTAAAACTAGAAAATAAACCCCAAAGAGATATTTAATATATTTACCTGTATAGGAGACATATCTCTTTGCATATAATCCTGAGGGGTCCAAGATGCAAGCTTAGCACAAGTTTTAGAGCTTAAAATACAGCTCCTAATGGTGTTCCAATAACGAGGATCCTCTATTCTCTTCCTCCACCATGATGAATAATCTTCAATATGATACTCCTTATAAACCCTCCCAACCACTTCTACACCACTACCCTTGCTACTCACACCATAACCAAATATAGTCAAACCAATGAGTGATGCTATGAGGAACAACATCACCACCAAGTACACCCATAGTGCACATGCAACATTAAAACATGCACCAATGAACCCTGATAGTGAAATCACAAGCACAACAAAACCAATTACCAAAAGTGGTGTTTCAAGAAAACTCTCACATGTTGTGCTGCTCTTTGCCATCAATAGTCCTGCTCCTATTATAGGTATTGATGCTACAAGTGTAAACAAGTTCAACAACCCTATCACTGTGTTGCTAAACCTATACATGTCTCACTCTATCTCTAGTTTATTATGTTTTTGTGATTTCTTGTGGTGTACTCAGCTTTCTATCTATGAGTCTATTTAAAAAGGAAGAGAGACCCTAGTTTTTTGTTTTTTATGATACTTAAAATCTCTTTTTCCATTGCTCTGAATCAGTATACTCAGAAACTTTAGTTGGAGTATGTGGAAATGTCTGTGCTAAAAAAATGTCACTTAGTTATTAAGGAAGTTGTTTTTTTCTGCTAGAGTGACTAATTTACCCTTCCCTGCCTTTTCATGATACAATGGAATTTTATAACAAGAATGGTCTTTTTGGTAATTACAGATAATGCTTTTTTGGGTAATACATGGACCCTATTTGGACTTGTTTGTGAAGCAAGATCATGAACCAGAATTGGGCTATTCTGGAGGGTATCATAAAATGGTAATGTAGTATAAGTGGGTGCTTTGAATTTCTTGTCCTGACTCATCTAACCTTAATGTTATATTATCTGTCATTTCTGCTCCACTAGGCACTCTAATTCTTTTATTTTATTCTGAAAAGAAGTTCCACCAAGCTTTGATTTGGCAATGATAGATAGAACTTTATCTAAGCACTTTGTCTAGTTGAAATATTTTGTTCTACAATGGAATTTTCAAATACACACAAAAAATCCCTACATCGTTTTCATTCATTCTTCATGTTAAACTTTAATTATGAATTTTAAGATGATAAAACTTGGCACAATAGATAATGCAGAAAAAGAATATTTGACCCAATAAATAAAAGAAGGGTAGAAGAAGTGAGAGAGGTGGCACAGGGCATAGCTTTATTATTGTTGTGCCTTCTCTACTGTTTCTGAATTTTACTATCAAATACACCCAAAAGGGAATGAAGGATATCATATCTGATGCTGCAATTGTTGTTTCATACTTGAAAGGAAAAAATGCATGGATTAGTAAAGATGATTGTGGATAATGATGACTACACTATTGAATAAATTAATGTATTGTTCTTTGAAATCCTTAATGAATGACCCTTTTCCCACATTTGAAGATATTGACATCTTAATACATATATGCTATCATGGGGTGTGTGATATCATGGTTTTGGTTATCATCATGTGAGTGGCAAATAAAGGTAATGTTTTTTTTTTCAATGATACTCTTGGACCCGGTAACAAAAGTTTATACATTTGGGGATAGTTTTTGGAGAACAATTCGGGATTTTGAATTGCATTGGTTATCCAATGAATATATCAGGGTGATTTGTGAGTGGCACTCCTTCATTTGGTTGTGTGGTTCATGAAAGAGTCTTGGATTATTCAATTCATAAATATGGAACCATGATCCTTAGGAAGAAAACTAATATAACAACTACAGAATCACCTGCATAACTTTCTCCACCATTGAAGAATTCTCTATGCTTATAACTGAGGTAGCTGAAAACTGTGATATTATAGAAGAAAAAAAACTTATAACTATGTGTAACTAGTTGATTAGACAAAATTAGTGTTGCACCTAGCTATTTGGTTACATGGTTTAAAAGAAGAGAATAATGTATCTCATGGTATAAGGAGATAAGTTATCTCCTCCGACCACTAAAATTGTTACATGTAAACCATTTTATCATTTTTTACAAAAATATTTCAAAAACTAAACAAAACAATACACATGTCATTCTTTTAGTTGTTGGAGGAGATAAGTTATCTCCTGGTATAAGGTAATATTGTGTTGAATTGGAGTTAAATAGTTATGAGAATAAAGTATCTCCTCATATCAGGAGATAATTTAACTCCTTCAGTCAATAAAAGAATGACATATATATTATTTTGTTTTAGAAATATTTTTGTAAAAAATAATTAAATGGTACACATGTGACAATTTTAGTCACTTTTTGCTTTGAACTTTTGACATACCCATATATAATTCACCATGACTTGAGACCAATCTATGTAACCAACATTTTCTAATAATTAATCTTGAGATTTGTTAATTGTCTTAGTATGAGAAACAATTATAGTCCTTGCAAACTTAAAAAGGTATTGGAGATTTAGACATGGTATTTCAAATAATTTTTTACATCTTTGCTTCAATTACATGATTTTTCAATTTAATAATAATTAATCTTGTATCATTACATAATTTTTTAGATTGGTCTAAATTCCTTAATAACATTATCATCATAATGTCAACCTTAAGTTTTATTTTATGTTTGGAAATCCCAAAATTTATAAGTGAATTTAAAAATTCCGAAGATAATATATTGAATGTTTCACTTTTATTAACATTATATTATCCTCCGACACCTACATTTATATATAAACACATTGATTAGTACCCGATTCCCATGAATATTTAAAGGAAGATGATGAAAGATTGAACACAATTATAAATAATTTTCACCACAAATTATATGGTGAACATATTCATTTATTTTATCAACAATTTCAATTCTTGATTCAAGTATCACTATTAATTGCAAAAACTGTTTATCCTAGTAGGTACTAAAAATTATGGCATCAATTAAATTATCAAAATCAAGAATTAAGTCAAATATTCTTCATCCTTCACCTTTAGTCACAATATCATTGGATTCATTACCATTTGCCATCATCAACATACTGGTTTATAATGACGTGTTTCTATTTAATTTGGTTTAGTATTCAACAAAAACATTTATTTAT